GATATAGTTAAAAAGATATTAATAAGGTTCTAAAATACTTTCGATTCGCGGTTATTTAGCTTAATATTCCCTAGTTTTTTCCTATCTTTGCTTCTTTTAAAAAGCTCTATAAGTAGTAGTATAATTAAAGAGTAATTTTTAATAAACCTTTAATAGAAGTTATAGAATCCTAGGAAGACTTAAATCTCTCTATAGGATATAGACTACTTCTATTCTTAGATAGTTTAAATCTATTCTAGGTCTATAGAGATATTATTTTAATTAATAATAAAACTAAGGAATTTAACTTATTTTTTATAGAATTAATATTTAGAGGTTTTTGTAAATAGCTATACTTCTCTTAATCTTTTAAGTATAAGATAAAGGTATTCTATATATTCTTTATAGGTCTTAGAGAAGATAAGAATATTATCTAAATATATAATATAAATAATATTAAGAAGGCTATAAAGTATAGTATAGATATAGCTTTAAAATATTATAGGTATATTAATAAGACTAAATAGTATAACTATATATTTAAAATAGCTATATCTTATATAAAAAGCTATTTTCTATTCTTTTTCTTCTTAAATATAAATTCGATAGTATATATCTTATATATTGATTTTACTAAGGAATTAAGTCCTAGAAAGATAGTTAAGAATCTTTAAAATAAGGGGTAGGAAGTACTAATTTTTAATTAAAATCTTATTTAGATCTTAATAATTGATATAGAGCTATAGCTCTTTATCCTTTTTAGGTATAAATAGGATAGATATATTAGCTAGGCTCTTTAATAGTCTGATTTAACTATTTATTAAGTTTTTATTAAGATACTTCTATAACTCTATAAGTTTTGTTTATAAGAGGGGGTAGATTAGATTATATAAAGGTAATATATCTTCTTTAAGTTCGATTAAGTAGTTAGTCTCTTTTTGTAGTAGTATAATTTTAGAGTTCTATATCTTAAATATATCTTAGAATACTAATAATTCAGGAGGGATTTAGTCTTAACTTACTATTAATTTATCTTTTTTTTCTTCTAGGGGAAGCTAGATTTCTTCTAGGGTTTTAATAATTATAAAGATATAGACTTAGTTCTTATATACTTTTATAAACTAGTAAAACTTTAACTATTTTTTTGTTTTTTTATTATATTTAAACTACTATTATTTCTACTATAGGGCTAATATAATTTATATTTCTTAGATAGTTATATTTAATAGTAGTATTAATAATCTTAATAGATAGGAATCTTTATTAACTATAATATAGGGATATAAAAACTTTTGCTTAGTTCTTTAAGAGTTATATATAGTAATTAGAATAGTCTATATACTATAGATAGGAGTATTTTATTAGCCTATTACTTCTAGGATAAGGGTATTATACTTAGTTTAATTAAAGTAGTATTTCTAAATAAATTTATAATTAATAAGATCTATCTCTATATAGATATTAATATCTATATATATCTTAATATTATTTTAGATATAAATTAGGATATAGAGATAAATAACTATTTTTACTTAAGGCTAGGAGTTAGAATTTATAGGAGTTAATTTAATCCTAGTATTTTTCCTAAGTCTTTTAATTAAGTATTATTATAATAATACTAGGGTCTTAAATAAACTTCTTAGATCTTTATTCCTAGGGCTTATAGTAGTAGATAATATTTATTTATCTAGTAATCTGGTTTATTATAATTAAAATAACTATTTAAAGAGATTCTAGTAAATAGATTAGATAGGTTAGATAGATTAGTCTCTTTAATAAGTATATTATTTAGATTATTCTTATTCTAAGGGGGAAATAATTAGGGTTTATCTTTAAATTAAGGGAGATTTAGATATAACTTAGAGTTATTATAATTTAGATTAGATCTAGGGCTATAAAGATTCTTTAAGTATAGATTTCTAGGATCTTTTTGGTCTTATTCTATACTATTAGACTAGTTTAGAAATAAGTTATTAGATTATAGATATTTTAAGCTTAAATTTAAATTATTAATAAATAGATTATATTTATATATCTTTATTTTTATAAATTCTTAGGTATTCTATACTTCTTTTATTTATTATATTTAAGTCTTAGAAGAAACCTTTATATATTAGTAAATATATAATATTAACTATAGCTATAGTTTTAATATATAATAGTATATTTACTTATCTTAGGAGACCTAGGAAAGATAATATTCTAGATCTATAAAATAATAGTAAAAGGCCTTTAGTTCTTTATTAATTTATTAATAATAATACTTTATCTTATTACTAACTTCTTTAGTAAAGGTATTTTTATTATATATTAAGATAAAAGTCTATTTCTTAAAGTATTCTTAGCTATTAAAGTAATTATTATTATTATTTTTAAGATATCTCTTCTCTATAATCTAGTTATTTTTATAGTTAGAGTTAAGATATTTAACTCCTATAAGAATCTTTATCTCTTTATTTTTATAGATCCTAGGGTTATCTTAAAAAATATATCTAAGTTATAAAAGTTAATTTACTTATTCTTAAAGACTAAATAATTTCTTAAACTTATTAATCTTAAAACCCTTTATTTTCTTATATATTTTAATCTTAGTTTCTCTATAAGCTATAGATAGATTATCTAGGAAAGTCCTAGTATTAATTCTAGAGATTTAAGTAGAGAGCTTTTTAAGGTAAGTATAAATTATAAGGAACTCTTCTAAATATTTTAGTTTGTGTCTCTTCTCTTTTAGGGTATTTATAGTAATACTTCTAGATCTATTAATACTTTTAGTTATAAGGTTATTAGTAATTTCCCTAATCTAGTCTAGACTAGATTTAACTAGGTTTATATACTAATCTAGAACTAATTTAACCTTAGGTTATCTAATAATAAAAAAGGAAGATATAGTAGGCTTAGATTAAGTACTATTATAAGAGGATATAGGGTTTCAGTATATAGAGGATATTATTATTAATCTTTAGATAGTTAAGAGAGAAGAATTAGAATTATTATAGTTACTAAGTTATTAGACTAGAGACCTATAACTAAATAAGAATATTAGATAGTAGAGATTAAATAGAATAGTTAATATATAGAACTAATTCTTATAGGATAAGAATCGTAGCTATTATTTATATATTTTAATATTACTAGAGCTTGCTAGGACTTAGGGTAGTTATATATTAATAGGTGTATCGTAGTAGATTCGCCTACGGAGCGGCTATGAATCATATCTGAATTGTATCCGAAGGGATTCAGGAATCCCGTGACAATTCTATTATCAATTATTCTAAAAACCTAGAAAAAACAAGGGAGGCCTAGGATTCTAAGGATTATTCAAAAAGTCTTCCTAATATCCCCTTTTTCTCTAAGAATTATTAACTAAAACTAAATATAACTGAGCTATAAGAACTTTTAAAGATAGTTTATAATAAATAATTATAAATACCTAAGCCTACCTAGTCAATTACAATAACTTTAGTAATAAGTAAAATAGATATTAGTTCCTAAGTCTATACTATACTAGGGTATCTTAAAATACCTAAGAAATAGGTATCTACTAAATAAGATAATACCACTTAACCAGCTACTTAAATTCTAACTATAGAGCTAGAAGAAGAGTCTTAATACTATATAACTATAAATCTTTTATAACTACCATAGTCTGTAAGAAAAATTAAAAACCATTCTAAGAATATACTATTTAAGGAAGAGCCTTCTAGTCATCTAAAAAGAGAGCCATATATATCAATACTAGACTAAAAGAAATAACAAATAAAAGATTTAACTTAAGACTATAACTCGCTATATAGAGAGCACAGTATATTATTCAAGAAGTCAAAAGTCAACACTAAAATACAAATGTCATTTAAACAACAGATAGAGTATAAAGACTAGGAAATTTCAGAGCTTTTAGGAAATATATAAAAGCTCTAAGAGTATGGCTTAGAAAAAATCCAGATTATCTTAAGTTATAAATTATTAAGAAACTAAGTATTTTGAACCAAGAGTATATATATATTATCTTTTAGTAGTATATAATAATAAAGAATCGAATACTACTAGTCTACCCTTATCTGTAGTTTAATAGCCCAAAGTATTATTAAAAGATCCTTTTATATATAGCTTATACTAACTAGATAGGAAATATACTAAGAATATCACTTTAGGTATATTTAAAGATTAAGGCTTTTAGTAGAATTTTTAGATTAAATTAGTTTCTCTCTATTAGATTCTACTACTAATTTATACTTTTATTACAAATTTCTATTTATATAGAATAGGACTTAGACTTTTATTATCCTTAAAGTAATAATTTAGAAAGCACTACCTTAATATATATTAAACCTAAGATAAATTCTGAATAGTTATGTTTCTAACGACTCTAAGAGATTTATAAATTACTTATAATAAACTTAAATCTAGTATAACTTAATAAAGTCTTATTATATATTATAAAGTATCTATATATCTTAATATTATAAAAGATAGATTATACCTTTAAGGATTATTAAAGTCTATTATATAAAGAGTCCTTTAAGTCTTCTAAGAAATAACTTTTCCTATATCTAGACTTAAGGAAAGAAATATTAATTCCTACTAGAAGAAAGTATAAAAACTAGAGAATTAGACTATAAAGAAGGTCTATATTATCTATAAGATAGGTAGAGTTAGAAACCTAATTTATAAATATATTATCTTAAGGGTATCTCTAAAGACTTGTAGATCTTTAGCTAAGTTCTATCTGTAGGTCTATATATTTTATATAAGAATCTTTCTTATTTATTTAATTAGTGATAGCTAGTATATAAATAGTATATTATATATCCTTCTCCTACTATATATTAATCAAATCATTACTATGGAGGATATTATTTCTATTATATTCACAACCTCTTATTTCACCGAGCTTATGTTTTTACTTACTAGGGACTCTTTCTTCTATAAGTACTTTATTTTTAAATTATTTATATTTATAATATAGGTTATAAATCTTATTATATAGTATATCTATATTAGTAAACTATAGCTATATACTACTACTTCTATTATTAAAGGATACTTAGTATTAATAGAGTAAAGCTACTTTAAGTTAACTTTAATCTTAAATATCCTACTTCTAGTATAGCTTATTATAAATATAGTAATCTTATTCTCTCCTAAGATAAAATTCCTCCTAGCTATAAAAAATAAGAAGATAGAATTATATAAATTTATTAAAGAAGTCTCTTACTTTCTTCTATTGGTTATACCTTAGGAGGATTATAGACTACAGGTTTAGCTTATAGTCTAAATTCTTTATATTCTTAGGGATTATATAATCACAGTTTTGACTTCTCTTTAGATAGGGCTGTTTATAAGCTAACTTTTAAGCTAGAATATAGTAAATAGTCTAGGAATTTAGGCCTTATTAGAGCTTATTTTATATTTAGGCCTAGATATACTTAAGAAAATCTCAACTAGTCTGATTAAGTAACTCTGGTTAAGGTAGATTAAATATACTACTATAAGATATCTTTTAGTATTCTTATTAGAGTACTTCTATAAGAAGGATCTTATAGATATAAAAGCAATATTTAAGAAAGCTAATACACTAAGCTAACTTCTATTATTAATCTTTTTTAATCTTATACCAGCCTTTATCAAGTTGGTAGTGGTCTTCATTATTATCTATATTATATTTAGCTTATATATTATACTTCTACTAATTCTAGTAACTATTCTTTATATAGGCCTAGATATTACATTAGTCAATTTAGATTTGGATTTAAGTACTATACAAAAGGATAAAGAAGTCAATTAAACTATCTACTAAGCCCTAGAAAGCCTACTTTAAATAAAGCTCTTCAACACAGTCAATTTTTATTATAATTACTTTAGGGATACTATTATTAAACACTATAAGATTAAGTATAGCCACAGTAAAAGTTATATATAGAAGCTAGCTTATTTTAAAGCTTTATAACGTATAGTATTCTTTTCTATTACAATAGCTTGTATATAGCTTGAATTTTCTATATAGAACCTCACATTTTTAACCCTATACTAGCCAAGGATAGTAGAAATCTTATCAAGATTTTCTAGAACCTACTAATAATTAAAGTCCCTTACTCTAAATACTAAGCTGCTTTTAGATTTCTTTGAAGAATAATCTATAGTTAAAGAGAGTAAAGAGACCCAGCCACTTTATAACAAGTAAGGCTTTATTAAGTATAATTATATAGATTACTACAATTCTATAGAAAAGAAATATATTCTAAGTAATATAATAATCACAATCCAAGCACATAAGATTATTATATTTGTAGGATAATCAGGCTTAGGAAAGATAATAGTACTTCTCCTCCTATCCTAGTAGTTTATCCCTATATCTAGTTATATTATAATTAATAGTTAAGATATTAAATATATTACTCAGAAGTTAATTACTAAAAACATTATATTTATTCCTTCCAATATATATCTTTTCTAAGGGTTATCAATCAAGAATAATCTATAGTACCCTAGAAGGAATTTTACTAATGATAAGATTTTCGACGCTTACTGTTATACGATGATCTATAATAATATTAGCACTTTGGAGAAGGGCTACGACAGTATTATAGGGGTTATTAATTTATCTAATAGACAAAAGCAATATATTGTAATTGCGCGAGCTTTACTTTGGAAATCTACAAATTTTTTTATTTTTAATAAGCCCACGAGTTATCTTGACCCGATAATAGAGAGAAAGGTGATTCAATAATTAAGGAAGCTCAAAGCCACTGTTTTGATTGCCTCAAATAGGATGTCAGTGGCTGAAAGTGCGGCAGATAGAATTATTGTTATACAGAATGGGGAGATTGTTGAGTGTAGTAGGCATGACGAGTTGATAGCGGTAGGAGAAGTCTACAAGACATTCTGGACCAATTAGAGCCCTACGTATCGGATTTCTCCTGACGGATTTTGGCTGCCCGTTCCGGATTAGTACTCACTGACTCGCCGCTTTTGCCCACTGAGTAGAACTGAGCACGGCTGCCGGCGCACTGATCGGCTCACTGAGCCTTATGTAAGCTTAGGCGCAGGCTCACTGAGGGGCAGCGCTATATACACCGCAGTTTTGGCTAGCATCTTATGGCCTCTTGAGCTTGTTGATGACATTTCCATCTACTTGTCTTATTATTTTGTTAGACGTTTAACAGAGCGATGAAGTCAGATCCCTTCGCATAGTGCGCACCAAGTCAATTTGTGATGAGACATTGCTTTGGGAAGTACACATGAGACAGAAATTAACATAAATTCCTAAGAGTATGATCTAAGCATCCATACTCAGCGACTCATAAGAGAAAGTAATTCTGCTGCAGATGGCTTTATTTAACGTCTTTACGCAAATCTTGGTCAAACTCCCTGCTTCTCTCCCTCTCAAAAGCTGCCCATCCGCTCTCGCGTTAGATCTCTGACTCATTTATTCTTGGATCAGAGGAACCTGATTGAGCAATCTATTCAGACTCGACTACGCCCAATTCAAGATATTGCATCATTACTACTTGGTAAGTTGGCCTGATACAATGAAAGTTCTGCTTTCAACTCCTCATGAGAATGCTCGATGCATAAGTTGGTTTTATGTGACTCAAGGAAATTCGGGGCCGAATAAAGAGCGATCTTCTCCGAAATACATTGAAGTCGCACAATGTGAAGAAGATATTTATCGGACGCATATTCCGGATCCGTTGCTAATTTCATACCAAGGCTTTCGAGAATTGGTAAACATGGGAGGTAAAATCGCTTTTGAAGGATTTGAGAGATTCTTAGACTTATTAGTTGTCGAGCGAAACTCCTCACAATAGATGTACTTACGCAGATGAGAAATAAAAGCATCCAATAACAGCGCGTTTCTCTTCTCGCCCCAAGGATACTGTGTCTTTGTCGTCATCACCATCGAAGCTGACTCGGGTTGTCCAAAATCGATGTTCGGGGGATCGATTCAGTTGTAGATCAGTAATGATACTTATCGCAAGATGTAAATACTGAGCGTACCGACGCGGCCTGGAGTGATATTGGCACCTATATCCTTCTTGTTAAAGGAAGCCAAAACGATGAAGCTAATAGAACTGGGCCATACCATGCAATGTGGACCAAAAGACCCTGTAAAACCTCAAATGTAATCTTTCCACCACCCATCATGCGTTCGGAAATAGCCTTCTTTACTTCTTTCTCTAATTTGCGCTGCAGAGGCATGTTATTGTACAGCGCGGCCATGATAATCGTAAGGAAAAGAAATGGCTTTTCTCGGCGCAGCTTTTCGGCATCTATTTGTGGTGGGATTATGACAAACGGGCAGTACGGTGCAAGGGTCGTTCGATACGCTCTCAGAAGAGCATTGGCCGCATCAATGCTGAGAAGGCCTTGATCGATGACATCTATATAGGCTGCAGGGCCAATCACAGCGACACTGACTGTAGATCCGTCGGTCATGCTATCATCTCTCTTCTAACACGTCAGACAATGTTCCATGAAATTGTCACTTTAGTCAACCGCTTACAAGGCTTCGGGCCCCTGACTGCAATAGTAGCCGGTCAACTTTGGCTTCCAGTTCATCTATCCTTCTTTGGCACAAGTCAGTATAAGAAGATAGAATAGTTATCGGAAACTTCACCTATCTTTACTCTTCTCGCGATTTGTTTCAACAAATTTGCTTTAATCCCCACTATACTGGCAAATCTTTCCTAGGCGGTCGCATCTATATCCAGTATTAGCATGCTGAGTGCGTATCATAGATATAACACACTGTATCTTGGCTTTGGCACAATTTCAACAAGTTTTAGACAAGCCATTAGAATAATTTTTCCTCTTCGAAAAATTTAACATAAGTGATGGACAGTAAGGGACAAAAAGCAGGACGGGAGTCGCAGCAGTAGAATAGCGCTATAAGTGAAAAAAAGAACTGCTAGTACCGCCCATTTAGTAGATTGAATTTCGATTTCGCCAAGCTACAGCATTGGCACATCAGCGCCGGTGGCTTAGCTACATAATAATCAAAAACGCTTGGCAGTCGCACCAAGGTAATACAACCAAGGGTCCAAGGGAATCTTAGGTATTCCGTCTTTTTCAGTCTTTTACTATAAAAGTTCCATTCTTCGTCTAGGGGCATATACTTAGTCCCAGAAAACTGCAAATATGGATACGAATACAAGTATATTCGTTATCCTCTCTAATAGTCGGACTATTGAGCTCTTGATATCATTAAGGGGGATTTCAAGAGATCGGCTCGAATATAGGCCTCAAATCAAAACACAACTTGGACAAGTTTGAGCTCTCTAGTTCAAAGTAGGGCCACAAATCCATCCGCTTGCCGGTCGCCAAAACCCCGCAACCAAGATTTTGCCCCTGTTACTTCAATAATTATTGACTCGTAGTCTAATCCAAATACCCATAATGACCTCCGTCTCCGAGTACTTAATTTTCTACAGAGCCGCATAGACTTTAATCCCATTACATGGAAAAGAAATTGGGATATTTTTTCGGCTTGGAAGAATAAGCTCTCAGGCGAAAATACTGTATTAAGTTGTTAGGAATTAAATGTATCATATACCTCTCCAGGGGCTATAAATTTTTCTTTTGATAATTTAAAGACAATAGCCTGTTTTGGTCACTCTTGCTTCCTGCTTTTGTTCACCGTCTGGGATCGGATTCATAACCAGTCAACCCCAATTTACTGCAATTGGAGAATAAAACATATGATAGTTTCCGAAACAGTAGTTCGATAGCATGCCTTGAAAGGAAAAATTAATTCCCAATACTAGACCTAAACAACCTTTCGGCACCAGGTACAAGCTGTGCTTACCTCAAAAGTTGCCCCCACATGGCTGTAGCCATGGTGCTCCTGCCTTCTGATCTCCTCCTTTTTACCAGGCTAGATGTAATAAAAATATGATTATGTGTTCTTCTTATGCACCATATTGTGTACGACAAAATCAATAATGTCCCCAAATATGTTGTTTGCGATAGTTGAAACATGCATCTCTAAAAGGTCTTAGATATCGTTGTGATGGCCTCGCCCAAAAATTTGACCATCACCAAAAGAGGTGCTACGTAAAGTATGACCTGGATGAGAAATGAGACGCAACTAAGAATCTCCACAGGTCTAAATATCCTAGCACCTCCAGCTTCTCGATACTGGCGATGTGTCCGTTTTTTAAGGCTAGGGACGTGTTTGAATTCATACTTAGACCCCCCCTTTAGCATGGACGATCCCAAAACCTTATTTATCAGGAATTGCTTAGAAATCTGTGTGATAATTGCATTAACCATACTGATCTGGGAATTGAATGATGGGATATACTCACGTTGGTCAAATATCTGTCAAAAAGTGGAACACAGTGTTGCAATTGACAAATGGCGACGAGAATGACACAGTACCCTTGAAAAAGAGCCTGGAAAAAGTCACCCGGTTTTGATAGTCCCAGCTCATCAGCCATCTGATCATTATTCATCTTGCGAACACCTGTCTCTATCAAGGATTTTGATATGTTGATCGGCGGAAAGTCGCGAATCATCTCGATGAAATTTTCAGTGAGGACTTTGGAAGATGACGTGGGACCAGGCTCGCTAAGCATGATGCTTTCCATAGTAGCCTTAGCCCGCTCAACAGTCGCGAAATATTCTGGTGGGGTGCCTAGAACATAGGCGATATAACGATACACTGCCAGGTATCCCTTTACCAGTTGTGTATCGGGTGTGATCCCTATCTTGGGCAATTGAACAAAAGGTGTATTGCAAGCGAAGACGCAAATAGCGTGCATACAATCCAGTAGATTAATTGGAGTACCGTATTTCTCGAAATCGTAATATTCCGGATTCTGTTCCACAATCTTCAGAATCCGATGGCGTACCATCGCATGCAATAGCCTTACGCGGATGGTAGATATATGGCCATCGCCACCAGGCTGAATTGACTGCAAGGACTGAGTGGCCTGAATCTGCCACTGGAATGTTTCGAGGAATCGCTTAGGCAAGACACGTACGTTAAAGCCCCCTGTCCTTATGAAGACCTCTGCGGTTCCTGCTGTTGTCTAAATGGTAGCAAAAATGTTAGTATAGTGTATGCACAGAAAGAAACAGCAAGGTAGGATAGAACATACGGCATTTTCTCCTAGGCAGCCCTGAAGCACAATTCCAGTAATATTCGGTGCCAAATATCGATAAAGAAAAAGTTGGCCCTTTTCAATCTCTTCCCAATCTACCCAGTCAGGGACGAAATGGCTCTCCTCCCAGAACTGACGCAGAATAGGATCATTGGCGTAGTTCTCCTTCAGAAGTGTGTACAGATCTGGTCTGTTCACACCGCCCTTCTCATTTTTTTGACCTGCCACAATTGCCAGCAGTCTTTCGACGACAGCCAACCCAAGGTCATCGGCTTGCCGTCTTAACGGCATGAGCTGCTCTGCCGTGAGATGGTTCTCAGTCCATTGAAAGTCATAGCCCCTGACATGACGCATGTTATCACACATTGACTTTTTAGAAGACATAATGAACAAGTTGTCAGAATTCGATCTGAAATTGAGATTTAGATATGACGGTATAATCTGTAAAGAAGACTTCCAAGGTTGGTATTGAGACTGGAAATTCATACTACTATTTATGATAATTAAATCCCGTATGGAAGATTAATGATCGACTCTGAAATGTGACTTTGTGACCAATAGAGCCTTTTCGGGCATGCATTGCGAGCCTGATCGGGATATGCACTGCCTCTTCTCTTCTTGGAGGCCAATTTGACTCTCTTGGCACTCTTCCATGAGAACGGGTAATGGAGGAGTGCAAAAAGAGGAGATAGTCTAGTGCAGTAAAAGAAATGGATTTCCCTTGATTACATCGGTAGACTGGGAGTCAGGAGGCTAGATGACGAGATATTTGCGCCCGTTGATGTACAACCTGCTTTTGAAAGCCAATATTGCGGAACATGACTCTAGTCCCCGGTAGTTGTGCTAATCAAGATTCCGGTCCCCGAAAAAGTCTGCTTTTTTGGGCTTAGTCACTGCCAGCCCCCTTCCTGGGAAGCTGCCGTGGCTCAGCTAGTACTTACCTAGAGACAAGGAGATTAGATGATTGCAAAGAGCCGTGGCGGCCTAGGCGATTATCACTACATTTGCAGGAGTAGGGCTGATCAATATGAATACAATCAGAACAAGAACTCCCTCACTATAAGGAGATAGTAAGACTGAAGTAGTTCTGCTGATATACTAAATCAGTTAGACTGGGGGCCAAGGGGCCAAGGGGCCAGTGGCAAAATATCTCCACATATGTATATGTATGTTCTGCTTTGGAGGATCAATAGTGCGAAACATGACTCGGATACGGGACAAAAGTACGAACTACAGGTCGAGTCTCCGAAAGAATTGGGCATTATGGCTCTGGCCACCGATAACATGTAGTGCAAACCGTGACTTTGGCCTCCGGCAGGGCTGTTCTAGGTTTCTCCCCAACGTGGATATGTTAGCACTCTCCCAAAATAACGTGTGTTGAAGGATTTCAGCAAGAGTAGACGGGTGGATTTTTCGCTTGGAGGACGATGCGAGTCAGAAGATGCAACAACGGAAAATCTGCGATTGGGCGAGTACCTGCCTTAGGGACTCCACGTGGCTCAGAAAGTGCGACACTTGAATATTGGAAACATTGGGTGATTCTGGAAATTCGTAGTGTGTATTGTATTGTCATGGGAGGTGGAGTATTGGCGCGTCATTGATCAACTGCCCCGAGTGAAACCCTCAGCCCAGGTACTGTCTAGTAACTGTCTAGTACTATCTAGTACTATCTAGCGCCCGGGTGGTCTGACAAGGTTAAGGTTTCCATACATGCATTGTCATAACCAGCGCAAAAGGCTATTTAGTTCAAATTCTGGGGGGACGTTTTTCTTTCTGGATGATTCGATTGCATTTTCAATGCGGGAATTTCGGTTTCAGTTGGAAAAAAAAACCGGGGTCGAGGCAGGGGGAGTCCTTCCACACACATATATCACAGTGGATGTTGACCTATGTTGAAATAGTTTTATATGGAGAATCTATATACCCAACAGATAACAGTTGCCAGCCAATAATCTCTTATTATGAAAAGAAAGAAAAGAAAAATAAATAATACCACCGTGTGACAGCGCATGTGGGCTACCCCTAAGTATGTCGATTAGACTGGGACCCAACAGTAAAATTATTACACTCTCTTCTTGGAAAACTGGCTTGGCTCAGTAAGTACTATCTTTTCCTTCGCAGATTCGGTTACTTTATCAGTGGATCTTTTAGAATCGGGTCTTTCGAGAGTGATGGGGCCATTTTATGTGATAATTCTATCTGCAATTTGCTAATCGGTGTCACCGATTACTGAAAAGATCAGACGAGTACCCAAGCTAGTTCAATAGTCAATCGTGGAATGGATGGGGGAGATCCAGGTGAAAATATCTTTTCCTTTCATCTGTAATTAATTTGTCCATGACAGAGGCCCCACCAAATTCAATTCTTGGTAGTCGTGGCTCACACAAATTGGTCATATAAAGGACATATCTTCTGGGTATTGCATAGGTCCTTACCCCACTCGCTCCTTTTATTTTCTGCATACGCTTAAGTCTTGAGTTTCGAAATCATGGTCAGAGAGCAAGGATTCGTGGAAGTTACTTTGCCCGACCTGTTTGTCCATTTCCTGGCTCGGAAACCCGTGCTGCACCAGAACTATGAAGATACACGTGTGGCTTCAGAATCATGGCTTTCAAAGTAAGTGACTCATTAAGTCTTTATATATTGCTGACATCTCTAATAAGTCTCTGCCATTTTCCTCCCCCTTTGCGGAGCAAAATTCATAAGATCGATATCACGTACTACTGCGCCATCTTGCTGCCTTGTGTAGACACAGACCGATTCCGTATAGTCTGTGACTGGATGAACTGGGTGAGCAGATAGGTTCACCGTTCTTTTAATCTTCAAACGCAGGGCTGACTCTGAGTTCGCTAATAGGTTTTCCCTTTTGATGATGGTTTGCTCGACGGACTTCTCTTGAATAAGATGATGCCCTAACAATCTCCTCAACAGCATTCGACAATGGACCCCTCAAGGAAAAGCCTGAAGACGTTCGAGAATTAGTCAACGGCCTCAAAGGAATATTCGATTCAAAAACAACCCACGAGCATCCGAATAAACTCTTATTTGCCTTTGAATCGATTTGGCTTCATGTTTTTCAGGTGCGGATATTTCTCCTAGTCTTATACAAGCACCTGAGCTGCTACCCATTGGAACTAAAAAATGCTTAGAGCGCTTGCCCAGGAACTCAGAGAAGATTTGCAAGCTCCATGCAAGATTATTGTGAGGCTATCTTTCAGCAGGTTGCTCTACAGAAGGGTAGTCGTCAGAATCAACTCGGGGTAAAATCAACTTTGCAAATGCGGCGACGGTCAATTGCGACAATGCCATTATTTGCGTTGATTGAGTGAGTCACTTTCTTTTTGAGAGTAACCAAGAAGTTTTCTGAAAGATCGATTGCAGATATGCACACGCATTACGCATTCCAGATGATGTATTCGAATGCAACAGCATCAAAGAAATCCAACGTGTTGGGACAGAGCTAGTACTATTGTGAGTTTCCAAACATTTAGAGATCAGGCAGAATGAGTTACCTAATACGTTTCTGTAGGCAAAATGACCTGATATCGTATCGGAAAGAGAAGGTATGCGAAACCTCGAATACCATGATAGGCCGCCTTTTTGATTCATTGATTCTAGGCACTGGGCGAAAGCCACAACATAATATCGATCTACCAACAAGAAGGATACACCATCCAAGAAGCATTCAATAAGGTAGAAAGATCATTGTCTACATGTTACCGCGACTGGTATCTCGGATTGGCACAATTACCAAGCTGGGGAGAAGAGATCGATTCGCAGGTCCAGCTGTATATTGATGGTGTGCAGAATGCTGCCTTGGCCAATATTCACTGGAGGTCAGTCATTACTCTTCGCACATCGAGCCATCCGTGATTATTGAGACTTTCTACCTCGTCATAGTTTCCGAGTTGATCGATATTGGGGAAACAACCAGGATGTTCGCAAGACGAGAGTTATTAGCCTTCCAGTTGATGATTCTACGTTGAAGCGGCGAAAGAATGACATCGACATCTCAAATGGACGGGCTTTATTTTCAGCTTTTATTTTGCTAGTGGCTTTCGTGTCGATACTTGCCGTTCCTCGGGTATTGGATTTTCCTTTTTGAACGTGAGGCTGCTTTATTGGGGTTTTCTATTAGCAGCGTTGTCCACCAAGCCACAGAACTCGTTGGAGAAGTCGAACTTTGATAGGGTATTCCACTCGCAGGGGCTAAGGTCCAAAGGTTTCATATTGCTTTGGCTGGGCTCAATGGCAACGAGGAGGCGACGCGCGGCGATACGGGTGATTTCACCAGTCTCGTGGTTACGGACGGTGAAGAAGACACCGCTATTTGTGCGACTGCTTTTAACAATGGTACTGGAATATAAACACATCATTACCAAGGTCTTTTTCGATGGCGTTATAAAGGGCCTGATTGCCGCCGGAGATCGGTTTGTACAATGCCATTTCGCCGGTCATAGCGCGTGCCATATCCCAACCGAAGGCTTGCAGCGCAAACATAGTTGTTACCTCGCTCATATTTCCGACACCGAGACCGGTTGATGAGTACATAAGAGGCGCTGCCTTCTCAACGCCGTACTTGGTAAGGAATTCATTGAACGGAATCAGAAAGTCGGCGGGGATATTCTTGGGCTCCGGAAAGTTCCAGTAGCCTGGTCGCAACATCGACTCCCACGTCTCGATCACCTTAAGGAACTTTGAAATAGCTGCGATCTGGGTAGCTACCGAGGGCACATTGAAGCCAACCTTTTTACCGGTATTAAAGTCGAAGTACTCAGTAGTTGCAGTGGACGTAATAGAGTTCGTGGTTACTAGGATGTTGAACCGGGCAAAGAAATCCATCGATTTACTGATATTGAGGAAACTATTAACACCGTAGTTGTAGATAACGCCAGTCTTATCGTCAATATATGTGTTGACCATACCACCCTACAAATCGAGCTCTCGTCAAACCCTGCTTCCAAATATCTCCACTTCCAATGTATCTCATTGGGGGTAATTAAAGGGTCTCAATTGATTATACTTACCAAAGTCGCCTACTTCTCGATCAGCGCAATACTCTTATTGAAGTCATCGCACAAGCGGACGGCAGCGTAGGCACCCGAAGCACCTCCGCCAATAACCACAATATCTCTTTGGATGACGTCTGAGTTGCTAGTAACAAGTGAGGACATTAAGATAGAGAAGCTCAAGATATAAAGAATAGAAAGATGAGGAGATCTGAAGTTCTTATTTATATTTCAGTTACTTAAACAATTTAACAGAGTATAGACAATATCTACTAGACCATATTTTTACGTCACCAATTCATTATTATATAGCTAAGAATACATTAGAAATAATAAGAAATAAGGAGACGCCAACCCTGCAAAAATGAAGGGTATTAAATAATAGAAGGAAAAGATCAATCAGTGTTGTGGAGAAACCAAACTACTTTAGGAATGGGCGTGAGATAGACTGGGTGCTCAATACATATCTTTGAGTTATCAACAGGGTGAGTAAGCACAAAATCATAACTTAATCATAATCACTGAGTGCTCACTGAACGATCACGTGATTGGAAAGCGTGGCTCAGTGAGCCTGAGCCGGAGCGCCCTCATTAAAGCGGCGGCAGCCGCAATAGGTAAGCCCCACTTGTCAGGAAAAATCCAATACCTACAGCTACCTAGGTAGGTACATCAAACTTCGGTGCTCTCACCCTAAATACGAGATGTTGGAGAGCCTACCTTAGAGTAGATCTTGGACTGTCTTAAGGCCTAGTCTGCTAGAGGAAACTCCTACATTTTATAGGATATGTATGAATATAAGGCCAATTAGATTATTATTTTACCTCGCTTTTACTGTTGTGCAGCACAAAGTCTAGATAGGGCTTCTCTAATAGCTAAAGCTAAGATCCTTCTACTATAGATTAATACAAAGAATAACGATATACTTTAAATTGTAATCTTTTTGTGTAGAGATTATAAAGTAATATCTATAATATCATAATTATTAATCTTAATACACCTAGAGTTTACCCTTAATATAAAAGCCTATATAGATTAGACGTTTATACTTCAGGGCCCTATAGAAGGTGGAATAGGTACTTATCTAAAGCCCCCTTAGCTTATAGCTCTAGTAAGTAAAGCTATATATAGAATTTTATATTATATTATTGATATTAGTTACTTTGGTTACTACTAATCTTATATTGATAAGCTACTTATAGGGATAATAAGGATATAACTTAACTAAAACCTTATTTATATTGTATTAATTAATTTAAATTAGATCTAGATAAATTAGAAGATGATATCCTATCTCTACTTTTCTCCGACTCTAATAACTTATTTTATTTTAAATTAGAAGCCTTATTAGATTCTATTTTAATACTACTTTTATTATTCTATTAGTTATAAGAGAGAGATATTCTTTATATTAGCCTATATAGCTAGATATATCTATCTTAAAGTGCTTCTCTTTAATTAACTAGTCTACAACTTAGATCCTTAATAAATAAGGAAAGCTTCTTATAGTATATATTTTATTTAATAAAATCACTATTATAGGTTTAAACAGTATGGTCGCTTTTATCCTTTTTTCTACTATTAACTCTGAGGATATAGTCAATTGCTTTTATTCTATTTAAGAGCTTAACTAGATGCGCAGCTTATTCTTTTATATATCTATCTATATAGTAGGGCTGTACTAATGATTATACTTTATAATATTTTCGGATATTAAGTAATAATACTGATAGGACTTGTCGAATATTGTTTTAGCTAAGAGGAGCCTGAGTAGAATCACTAGTACTAGGTACTAAAATCAGTATATATAGTATTAATAAAATACTATCTAACTTACTTTATATATCTTTAGGCTATTCTTAAATATTAAGATATAATTAAATAAGATCACTTTTAAGGAGGCTAGAAGATAATAGAAGTTATCTAGATTCTAATATTTACTATAGAGAAAGATATATAGAGATAGAAAGAGTAAGCTTTATATAAGTATTAAGCCTTAATACCTAATTATATTAATAAGTTAGGAGCTTATTTATAGTATATATTATAAAAAACTAATACTTAGAACTATAGACCTAGCACCCTAAATATAATGTTTAGGCTAGTAACTACCTATTATATCTTATTATTATACCTTATTATATATTATATAAAATAACCATATATTTCTTGTTCCTAGTGCTTTAAGAATTATTTATTACTAATAATTTCTATATAATATTAATCTAAAATATGAATAGTAGATTATTAAAGGTTTAGTACAATAACTCTATGGTTTATTTACTCTTAGGTACTTATTAAAATATATAGAGCCATCTTAATAATTATTTATATAGTCTAGCGAGAGTTATATTAAGAGAGTTTTTACTCTTAAGAATAAAAACTCTTACTATAACTACAATTCTACTAAACTTTAGTAAGGATATAAGAGCTATCTATAATACTATTATATATTTAAAGCAAAATGATAAAGATCTAGTTATTATTGATAATTATATAAATAGATATTTAGAGCTTTTTAATAAAGCTATAGTCCACAAACTAGTATATATTGCTTAGTAATTTATAGTATCTCTACTATTTGAGTAGGTTACTTCTAAATAACTAAGTCTATTACAAAATTTTCTTAACAAACTATATAATAATATTCTTAATAAGGTTTAAGATAATATTAATAAAGTATAGGGAAATCTAATAAATATATATCTTTAGACTTTCTTCTATATAATAGCTTTAGTGTATAGAGATCTTAAAAGTATTTAAGGAGTTATGATCTTTAGTATATCTCTAATATTATTTCTAATAATAATATTTAATATTTATACTAATATATAAAATAGCTCTTACGAAACGTGTAACTTTATGTAAATCTCTTAAAATATCTTAAAGCCATCTACTAAAATTTACTATTGAATACTAGCAGTAAATTCATACTAAAAACAATACCTATATCTTAGTATTAGACTAAGTTATTACTATTAAGTATTTTAAGATACTAAAAGAAGAAGAAATAAGATCAATATTCTTAGAAATAACCTATTTCTATCTCTTTTTGAATTATTAAGAATATAGATTTAGTAAAAGTACTTTAGTAAGAGCTCTATCTAGACTTTGGAGTATAAGAATAATTTTGAATTTTATCTATGTATCCTTCTTATAAGTACTAACTATTTTATATAATATAGGTATTACTAAAGGAAATATAATTATATACCTATCCTGTTTAATTTTCAATAGTGCCTATAGTCTAAAAAAAACTATAGAGCTTTAGTAGTTATTATTTTTAAATCCGGATCTTCTTTAAATATAGCTCTAGAGTAATTTACTAAAGAAGAATCTCTCCCTTTTAATAGATTCTAATAGTCTACAAGAGTCGGGCCTAGAATAATTTATAATAAGATTAGTTTACTATAAACTAATTCTAATCCAATAATCCTATAGCTCCAATAATTAACTACCTTTCTATATATTTTACTTTTTATTTACTCTAGTATAAGATATAGGATTATTCCTAGCTTATTATAATAAATAACTTCCTAATTAGATATATATCTAAAGTCTATAAGTATCATATCTAGGGGATTATAGCTTCTTACTAATATATTATCTAGCTTTATATCTTAGTACTAAATCCCCTATTTATAAAGAAACGCAATTGCTTCTAGAAGTTATAAAAAGAATATCTCCCTTCTAATAGTTAATATATTAGATCCGTATAGTAAACGAAATATTATATTTAATAATAGGGATATAATTATATATTTATCTATAAGATTATCAGCTGTAGGTGTCCAATTTTTATTAAGATATATTTTAATCCTGGCCTACTTAACTAAATATAAGTATTATCTATATAATTAGTAGATAGGGATATATATACTAATAACTTCACTTTTCGATCTTCTTAGATTAATATAATAGATTTCCTGAGGGCTGTATATACAATCGTATTGATATATATTAACTATATCTAATTAGGAAGATAGTAAAAACCACCTAGGAAGGATAGTAACTTATATAATTAAGCTTAGATATTTCTATAGCTATTCTTATCTCTTAATCTATACTATACCTATTTTTCTTTAATCTTAAGATCTATTTAGCTATTGTTAGATATCTAGTATATAAATTAATCACTATATAAACAATACTAAATATACTATATAAAAATAGCTACTAGAATATCTAATCTTTAAATCGGGAATCCTACTCCCTAGGAGTAGGGAGTATTAGTAGATATTACTCTCTATAATATTAATAGAAAAACTAGTGTAGCTTAATCTAGAATTATTCTTCTTCGTCTAGATTTCAATTAGTATATTGTAATATAAAGATATATTCCCTAATTATAATAGTATTTTTTGGTTGTATAAGATCCTGATCTATACTAAATATCTCTCTATCTATTATTATCTTTTTCCCTATCTTATTATTAGTAATAAGAAAAAAGCTACTGGCTCCTTTAACCTAATTAAAATATATATAAATTCCTATAACCCCATCTTCTTTTTGATTATTAATATCACGGGATTCCTGAATCCCTTTGGGTATGATTCGGGTACAATTTATAGCTGCTCTATAAGCGAATCTATTATAATACACCTACTAATATATAACTACCCTAAGTTCTAGTAAGCTCTAGTAATATTAAAATATATAAACAATAGTTATAATTCTTATCCTATAAGAATTAGTTTTATATATTAACTATTTTATTTAATCTCTACTATCCGATATTCTTATTTAGTTATAGGTCTCTAGTTTAATAACTTAGTAATTATTATAATTCTAATTCTTCTCTCTTAACTACTTAAGGATTAATAATAGTACTCTCTATATACTAAAACCTTATATCCTTTTATAATAGTATTTAATCTAAACCTATTATATCTCTCTCTCTTATTATTAGATAACCTAAGATTAAATTAGTTCTAGATTAATATATAAATCTAATTAAATCTAATCTAGACTAGATTAGGGAAATTATTAATAATCTTATAACTAAAAGTATTAGTAGATCTAGAAGTATTATTATAGATATTCTAAAAGAGAAAAGATATAAACTAGAATATCTAGAAGAGTTCCTTATAATTTATATTTATTTTAAAAAGCTTTTTATTTAAGTCTCTAGAATTAATATTAGGACTTTTCTAGATAATCTATCTATA